TCTGACTTAAGCATTAACTTTCTCAAATAATATATTTACCCTTAGTGAGAATCATCTGATTTTATTCTTAATTTATATGTGGTCTTGTTTATTAGTAATGACTGACATTGTGTGGTTTCAACTTTAGTCAGAGAAGTATTAACAGGGCTTATTTTTTATAAAGGTGAGAGTAGATGGATTTAAATAAATTTACCACATATGTAGTATTCAATGTTTGTGCTGCCTTGAGCAGGAAGCAAGAATCATGAAGGAAAATATTGCAGTATGACTCAAGAATATGTTTTCCAAAGGAAAAATTAGCATTTAGGTGTTTAATGAACATTAAGATTTTAAAGATACTATCTGTTTCAACAATTTGCTTTATCTTTCCCAAAACACAATGAATTCAACTAATTACTCATTAGTATTACATATTTTTAACTATAGAACGCAACTTTCTGTATAGCAGGGAGTTACTAAATGAAAAAGATGAATTAAAAACCAGATGGATAACGTCTCCTTTGTCACATGGTTTTTAGTGGACACAGGACCATCGCAGGGTGTGTTATGGGGAAGTTTTAAAGAGTTGATATCCTAGTTTCAGACTTCTAGCCTCCCAACTTTTAAGAAAATACATTTATTTTTGTTAATGCCATCCACCAGATAACTACGAAGTTGATACAGGAAGAGTAAGGTGTTGCACCTAAAATGTGGGAACAAATGAGGAATTGGGTAATGGGTAGAGATTTAAGGTGTCTGATAATAAAAGTCTAGGTTTTAATGAATGCACTGTTGTTAGAAGTATGAATACCAAAGGCAATTCAGGTGAGGGTTCAGAAGGAAGTGAGGATAATTATAGAGAAAGTCTCTACCATGATCGGAATGCACATGGCACCACCACGAGCAGTGTCTGCTATAGTAAGGAGACAAGGCTATTGTGGGGTAGATCTTTACTCGATGTCTTTTAAGATATAATAGGGTTTGAACCAAACGCTAGGAAGCAGAGGCAGGGAAAGAGAGGGGCTAAGTTAAGAAGAGACAAGGATCCCCATCAGCGTTCACAAGTAGAGAAAGCCTTCCCCTAGAGGCCAACCTGAATTTAGACTCCAAGCCTCTAAACGGTGAGAAAATGTGGTTTTGTCTGTGTAGCCATCCACTTGGGATATTTATGTCATAGAAGCACGAAATAATGAAGATAACTTCTAAATAAAATTCGGATCCAACTTTGAAACTCTGATAAATAGTTATTTTGTCTCTCTTGTTAAATGCATGTGTTCAAGAAGGAAAAGCAGTGTTTTGAAACTGATTGTGGTAGCAATTGCACAATACTGCTTGATGGGATTTAACGATGGAATGATATGTTATCTGTATTAGCTCCCAATAAAATAGCATTGAAAAAAGTTGCATTTTGATAAGTTTTCTTTTAAAAGCACAACATGTATTTGAAATCCTTTCAGGAGTTCACATTCATTCATATTTTTACCCACAGATCTATCAGAATGCCGAGATTAGCCATGACAAACGGGACGTCGATTAGAGAATTCCTTCTGCTGGGACTTACAGATGACCCAGCGTTAAAAGCTGTGATATTCTTTTTTATGCTGTTCACATACTTATTGAGTGTAAGTGGAAACATGACCATCATAACGCTAACACTGTCAAGTGTTTCTTTGAAGAGTCCCATGTATTTCTTCCTCAGGAATTTCTCTTTCTTAGAAATTTCATTCACAACAGTATGTGTTCCTCGGTTTCTTATTAGCATTGCTACAGGAGACACAACCATTTCCTATAATGCTTGTATGGCACAAGTGTTTTTTTTAATCCTGCTGGGTGCAACAGAGTTTTTCCTACTGGCTGTCATGTCCTATGACCGCTATGTAGCTATCTGTAAACCCCTGCATTATACAACTATCATGAGCAACAAAGTCTGCAATCAGCTTGTCATTGGGTCCTGGCTGGCTGGATTTCTTGTTATTTTCCCCCCTGTTATTATGGGCCTCCAACTGGATTTCTGTGATTCCAATGTTATTGACCACTTCACCTGTGACTCTTCTCCTATGTTGCTGATTTCTTGCACAGACACAAAGTTTCTAGAACTTATGGCATTTTTCTTAGCTGTGTTCACACTCATGGTAACTTTGACCTTGGTGATTCTTTCCTACACACTTATCCTTAGAACGATCCTGAAGATCCCATCTGCCCAGCAAAGGAAAAAGGCCTTTTCCACGTGTTCTTCCCATATGATTGTGGTTTCCATTTCTTACGGGAGTTGTATTTTCATGTATGTAAAAACATCAGCAAAAGAGGGTGTGGCTTTGAGCAAAGGTGTAGCAGTGCTTAATACCTCCGTTGCTCCCATGTTAAATCCTTTCATATATACCTTAAGGAACCAACAGGTGAAACAAGCCCTTAAAGACTTAATCAAGAAAGCATTATTATCTAAGAACTATTAAACACTTATCATGGAGTTGGCTCCAAATCACAGCAAACTTACCAGAGCAGAAATACCCTATGAGTTCCCAAGGCTGTGAATTTTATGAAAGCAGATTTACATCTCTCTCCAGTGCAGCAGATAGTGGGTTAGGATCACTTAGTTTTTGCAACTACTCAATTTGACACTGAAAGGGTGAAATGGTGCCACCAGGGCTCCATAAACAAGGAATAAATACGATACAGCCTGCAGCGGAAGCCACAAGCAAACCACAAACCAACACAAAGCCTTTTTTTCTAGGTAGCAAAGGTACACAGGGAATATACACAGGATGCAAAGATTCTTGCCAGTGTAGAGCTGCTTAGATAAAGGGAGAGATGCCTGGCAAACGTAATAGATAACTAAGTCTTTTACACTTAATCTAAACAATTGTGTAATTGATAAGTACGACAAGAAGCAGGAATACAACAAGGAAAGGGCAGGCAGAACACAAACAAGACTGCCAAAGATTTCAAAGTCTACTCAAGCTTTTTATATCTTATTTGTCTACATTGAAATTTATTTATTTGTATAACTCTTTTTCCTATCCTAATTTCTTTCTAGGTAAATTCATTTATTTATTACACTGATATAAAACATAGTGAAATTGTGAAGTAAAACTATAAAATACATACTGCTCTTTGCTTTAAAAGATAGGTAGCAAGCAGTAGACAGCTATTAAAATCCTAGCTTAAAATAAATTATCCTAAAGAAATATGTAGTGTAACCCACATTTAATTAATGAAATTATCCCAAATTTCAATAGTTAATGATTATTATTTTATTGTTGTTGTAGTAAACATACAAGGGTGTACCCCCCAATAAATTATTTTCCCCCCAAAGCTATGTATTTAAATTTTTTTTCACAAAACAACCTTATCACCTTCAAAGTACTATTACACTTAATACATTTGTTAAATCTGTGATTCCATCTTTGGAAACATTTTTCAAACTCATCTGTTTGGATGGCTGACAGCACCTCCCTCATTTTTCTTCACCTCTTCTACATTGTCAAATCACTGTCCTTTCATTTTCCTCTTCATTTAGAGAAACAAACAAAAGTCACACAGAGCAAGGTCAGGTGAGTAAGGTATATGGGTAAGAGAGGCATGCTGGTTTTTGCTGAAAACTGGCCCACTAAGAGGGCTATGTGAGCAGGTTCATGATCTTGGTAGCAAAATTAATTCCCCATCTGCTCCAAATCAGGCTTTTTAAAAAATCACCCACTATGATGAAATCTTTTCAGATCCTCTACATAGAAAGCTTGACCTGGTGGAATGAACTCCAAATACACTATGAGGCGATATTTTTGTCTGTTCAGGAAGTTGACTAATGTCCAGAACAAGGTTTGTCATCGATTGACACTTCACGGCTTTTGAAATGAGAAAACCACTCATACACTTGAATTTTTCTGATAATGCTTGCAAGCTGTGTTCAACATCACAACAGTTTCTGCAGCATTTTTCGAGAACAGCAAACAAAATTAACAACCCTATGCTTTTCTTTTAAATCTGCCATCACAAAAAATGTGCTTTGAGTGAAATTGCTTTTATGAAAAATTTTACTGTGACCAAAGAAAACCTTCCGAGAAGACACCACTAGGTGCACTAACTCAGAGCGATTTGCTCAGTGCTCACCTAAGTGGAAAAATGCATACTATTCCAGTGGGGTTAGAGGTTTTCTTTGGGGGCAATGGGATGGATACCCTGTCATATATATAACATTTGCCAATTCGACATTTAAATGTTTTAACCATTTTATTTACATAATTTGCATACCATACAGTTCAATGTATGAAATATATTTTTTAAAGTTATAGAATCATTATTACAATCAATTTTAGATCAGTTTCTTCATTCTAATCCATTATTATTAGCTCCCCATTTTCCTCCAATCTCCATCGTAACCCTAAGGAGCTATGAATGTAGTTATTGTCTCTATAGATGTACCTATGCTGGATTTCATAAGAAGAAGACATTTTTTAAATCACGACAGCTACAACAAAAGATAACACATAAAATCCTCAATCAAAAAGAAGGCAGAAAAGAGAAAAACTGGAACAAGTTATAAATAGGTCTAAAAGGAAAGGAGAGGGTAAGATGATAAATTTTAACCTAACTATATGGAATTAATCTACTTTCAGATGCACTCTGTCTGAGGACAAGACTATCCACATTCCTAACAGTCTGAGGGAGTTCAATGAATGTGTAATCCACATGAAAACTCTGCAAATGGATTTGGGGCTTTCACTGACATGCAGACCCTATTGTAAACTGGGTGTGTAGAATTAAAGCTTGAATACAATCCCATCCTCTGGTTTTGGATTTTATTATCCGGAATCCTTGGATCACATGGGTTGGTGTTCTCCTTCCATGTGGACTTAGCAGATATCTCAGTTATATGGCTGCTACTTTTAAGACAAACCTTTAAGATCCCATAAACTATTTTTCCTGATAACTGACACCATCTGATTTCTTCACTAAACTTGGCTATAGTACCTGTATATTCAATGATCACATCATGAGAGTAAGTATTGGCAGGGCTACATATTAGGAACTATTTGTTCTTAGATTAAAGCTATGGTTATGTTTGAGTTCAAAATCCATTCATATGTCTTAAGTTTATATAGGTCCCTCATACACTAGAAAAGCAGCATTACCAATTTCTTGCAAAATAAATTAGGTAACCTGCAGAGGACATTTGATAATTCTAATAATACTATCAAATCCAAAGGAATATTTCAGTTTTATTAAGGTAAAATCTAGCCAATGGTTCAGAATTTAGAATACTAGTAAGAAAACGAAAATTTATATGCATAGGAAAGCTTGTTGGACTAAAATACACGCAACATCCATTGCACAGTTAGACTGCTTAAGAAAACAATGAAGATACAGGGCAAAAACTTTGATAATGTTCATTCATTAAGGCCAAACTCTACCCGCAGTACTATGGCATATCACAACAATATGAAAATAGCAAATATATGTTGGTCTTAAGTTGCCAATTATTGGGCAACCTTGAAAGCAAAAAGTATGAACCAAAGTCCAACGATTTCAAGGTCCATGATGTTGGGATCACATTTACCTATTTCTTCTTACCCTGAAGTGTTTCAACTGTAAATCTAAAGGAATATTTCAGAACTTTAAATCCAAAGGAATATTTCAGTTCTATTAAGGTAAAATCCATTTAACTTAAAGGGGTTTCTAAATTCAATCCTTCTGATGTGGTCTAAGAAGAATCCTGAAAAGCAACTTGAAAAGCAAAAATCTAAAGTCCAGGTAGTCTATAGTACAATGCCTGGTTTACCAAGGGCAAACAGGAAATTTTGTCCAAAATGTTTCTTTAGCAATGTAATATAGGGTAGATTCTCCCTTTAGGGGCCTATACAGTGCTGCTAAGCATTTTCCTCAGGGGAAGCTCTCCCTTCCTAGGTCACCCACAAACAGATGTGAAATACCATTCTCAGATACAGACATAATGCCCCCCTCCTTTGGTCATAAATTTCCCTGGTAGCTCGCTGAACCTCATCATAGAAGTGCCTATTAAATTAGGGTGCGCATGCAACTATGCGATCTGGCAGGAGCTATTTAGACTTCTCCTTCTCTACCTCAGCTGAAGAAGTCATTTGTATGGTACACAGATCAGTGAGTGATAAATGGTTCATAAGCATTAGACAAACGTGTCATTACATTGTTTGGGAGACCAGATTAAATGAATGCACATCCCGACAACAGATGCCAGACTTGGCCTTGGTATTTATACTTATAGTCAAGGTGTCCTACAATAGTTGACCTTTTGAGGTTGACTAATTTAACTCAGCATAATGTTCTCCGGGTCCATTCATGTAATGAGGTGGTTTCAGCAATATTTTTTAGTGATGCATATTATACCAGTATGTGCGTACCGAAGTTGATCCACTGATGGTTTTTCTGATGGGCTTTCGGGATACTGTGAACAGTGCTGTTAAGAACGTGGGAATGTATTTGTCTGCTCAAGTTATGTCTTTTACTCCTTTAGATTATGTACTCAGCTAACAGTCTCTTTCCCATTGAATGTTTTTTGGCCTTTTGTCAAAGATCAGTTGCCTATAAATGAAAGACTTTATTTCTAGGCTTTCGCTTGTGTTCCATTGGTCTATGCACCTATCCTTGTACCAGAACCAGACTGTTCTGATTACTGCAGCTGTGTCATAGATTTGGAGGTCAGGTAGGGCAAGGCTCATTAAACTGATTTTCTTCTTAAGGATTTCATTGCTTATCCTCCATCTCCTCACTCTCCATATGAAATAATTAATAAACCTTTCCATTTCTTTAAAGTATGAAGTGAATTGTAGTATACGATGGATTGCTTTGAGTAGTACTGGTCATGGTTGTTACGTCCCATTGAGTTGGTGTGAACTCAGCGACCTTGTGTACAACAGAACAAAAACAGTGTCCTGTCCTTGCACCACCCTCACAATTGTCCTTATATGTGAGCCCATTGTTGCAGCCACCGTGTCCATCCATCTTGTTAAGACCTTCCTTTTTGTTGCTGCACCTCCACTTTACTAAGTATGATATCCTTCTCAAGGTACCGTTATCTCCTAGTAGCACGTACAAGATATGTGTAGCAAAGTCTCATTATCCTTGCCTCTAAGGAGCACTCCAGTTGCATTATTTCCAAGACAGATGTTTGCTCTTTGGCAGTCCTCAGTACTTTCAATATTATGCACTCGTTCCATGTTTCAAATGCACCAATTCTTTTTCGGTCTTCCTTATTCAATGTCCAAATTCTATACGCATATTGAGGCAATTGAAAATACCATGGCTTGCTTCAGGCACACCTTAGTCCTCAAAGGAAACTCCTTATTTGTCAACACTTTAAGGATATCTTGTGCAGCAGACTTACCCAATGCAACCCATCTGTGATACTTAGGTTGATTGTACCAACCTGGCCAATAGGAGCATGTTGGATTAATCAGGTCACAGTTTCATTGTAGGGCAA